AAGATAATGAGGTGCGGGTTGAGGACAGAACATTTGTACGCATGGCTATATATGTTTAGGAGGCTAAATATGACGGTAATCTTGAAACTATGGTGGGAGACCTTTAAAATAATATTTGCCATTTAATGTCTAAAATACAAATTTACAGAATCGGAAGGCTAAGCAAACCGCAGTCAGTTATATTGCGTCGGAAAAGTACCAATTTCATTGTCAATAAAATATCTAAGAGATCGTACTCCAATAAAGCCGATATTTTGTTATGGTGAGTTATCTAAAGACAGTGTTAAATATATTTGCACAAATCTATAAGCCTCGCTTTGTGTAATAACGGGCTATTGATAGCAGCACCACGTTGAGAAAAGTCAGCGGGTTCTGCCCACCATTGTTTTGTCTGTTAGCAAACGTGAAATGTTTTCTTGCTTTGAAGCAAAGGGAATTATTGAAAGTGCGGATAAGGTAGGAGACGACTTCTAGGGAAATGCTATTAATGGAACGTGGTTCAGAATGCCATAACACAGGAGGTGTACTTAGCTGTTTTCAGTTAGTTATTCAACGAGATTTGGTCCTACAGTCCCACCTGAGTAATACCATACGTTTGGTTTTCTAAAAAATTGTAGCAGATACGAATATGCTGACTTTATAAGTATGACGTTTTTGTATCTTCCTTGCCGTTTTAGTCCAGCGAGTGACTGTGCCATGAGGGAAGGAGTGCTTATACAGCATCCTCGGTTACTTCAGGTATCAGTTCACACGTGCTCCCCTGCGCGTGCATCGAGCCCTGCTTGCGATCTCTTTATTACCTCAATCCAACAAGCAGCTAAGTAGACTTGCTGATAGAATTGTTTGAACGGTGTGGAAGACCGTCGGTTACACCACAGTGGCCGTGCACTGCGAATTACCACGCGGTTTCCTCCGTGGCCTTCCTGTTGCGATTGCGCCCATCTTATCCTCTTAATCCAGCAAGCGGCTCTGCCGTGGGAGTTTGTAAATGCCACCTCCACTCGCTTCCCTGCGCGTGCCTCGACCTCTGATTGCACTCTCTTTCCCTTCTTAATCCAGCGAGTGGTTAAGTCAACTGTGTTTTCTAATATTGCTTTAGTAAGCTAACCATACGGCATCAATCGAATGGGGTTGCAGAACCAAACCTCGCCAATTTTGCTTTTGGGCTAACAATGTCGCTTTTATAAACATGGAATTGAATTGCTTTCCCGACAGACGTCTGCAAAGTCTGGTGCTGTCTAGTTATAGAAATCTCTTGAAATGACGTTAATATAGGATCTTTTGTTATATTCTGCCCCAACATTTTTGTAACCCAGCCTACTTATGGAACTTGAGTGATGTTCTTTTATGCGCCTTTTCTTCCCAAAAATATTGACATTAATTTCCAAAAAATCAAGGCTATTTTCCAACTTTTCGCAGAAAACTGGCGCAATGCTTGTCAAAATTATAATTTAAATGCTCTGAAGAGCGCTCATGAGGAACTCTCCTGGGCAACTGAAGCGGTAGAGATACCGGGGACTTAATTTTAGAACACCTAAAATTGACAGCGCAGCCACAAGTAAATTGTAATGCAGAAGGGTTATCAACACAGAAAAGAGAGATAAAAAATACCGTCTATGGCTCATTTACTGACTTCCGTCAATATATATCTCACACAGTCTAGATGTAGCTGAGACTGCATGAAAAGCTTTTGATTCGAAGTATCTGAAAACCGAGATATGGGATCAAATGGTGATGTTACATTGGCACTTTACCAACGTAACTGCCAGCGGATTTGATTGAGGTGTGTTTAGTTGTGTTCACTTTTTTATATTGTTTTCACGCAAGGAATATATTCCTTCTAATTTTACTGCATGGACATCACCTTAAAGGCGGATTTTAAGTCGAGCAGCTTAAAAAGATTAATTTGTGTTGTCGAAGAAAATGATATTAAACCATTCACTTCATCTTCCGGTCTCATCAGAATAAAAAATTGGCCTTTATGGCAGTCTAATGTTACAGAGTAACTAACGAAATTATACTACTTTTTCGAGTTTGGACATTTAAATGCCCAAGACAATCAGCTTTTAAAGTTAATTTGTTCGGTATTAGCTGTTAATGTCATGGAATTGTGGCTTTAGTGCTTCATTTCTAGGTATGATTTTACTTTCTTCCCTATAAAGGATCACTAATGGGGCTTTGAAGACCGAAAAGTAAAATTTAAGAGGGGTTTATATCCTTATTCTATGCAAAATAATTAGTTTCAAGAGACCTCACACCGAAATTGCAACTTGTGCAATAACTGAATTAAGCAACAAAAGCATATGAGATCCAAAATGTGTACTTTACCCTCTTAGTAGTCTGACAATAATTCACCATTTTTACGAAGTATCGACTGAAAATCATTCCCAAAAGAGCGTTTGTCTTCCAAGCAGATAGTATTAAGAGCAAGTATCGCCTATTTCATAACAGCATGCAAACCAACCTTTACGACCAGCTTTGCTAGTATACGAACCCTCAAATATCTCGTTTTAATTTGCTTCAAGTGGCACAACAGAAAACGCAGACATTCAGGTCTAAAATGAAAGTTCAATCGACTTGCATGAAAGTCTAGCTGCGAAGCGAAAAATAAAATAACCATAACACTCCTTAGAATCTTCATTAAATTGCGACAACGGATGGCCGACGTAAAACGCATTATAGAATTAGTCTTCCATTAATTAACAAACCAACATAAGGAATGAATAGAACATAAGCTTTGTAGAGCAACTAGTGTATATTTAAGCTCAAAATGTTTAGGCGAATGCGGGGTACAGTCCGGAGATCGGAGAGCATAGTCCGGAATTAAGCTACAGCTGCCACGAGACGCGTTAAAAATTCTGATAATAGTCATTTTAGGCAAAAATTCTTCTTGTAAAGAAGATGAGCACACGATCTCTGGGACAGTAGGTGTATTAGTCTGAGCTTTCGGTCTCGTACAGGAGGCCATCTTCAGAGACTGTGAGAATGCGGCGTCAAGTGAGCAGTTTTTGTGGTCAAGCCATGAAGGAGGGGGGATAGGAGTGCAGGGGGGGGGTATTCGAGAGAAGCTGAGTCCCACGCCGTCTCACGGCGGCCTAACTGCGTGCACCCTCGACGGAGAATTGAGTCTCGCGTCTCGGCCGCGGGAACGGAGAGCGTGATAGCAGGGGGTATATCAACGTGTCTGTTGATAGAGTTGGTGTCAGACACCCAGGCCTCCAGCAGTTCTCGCCCCGTCTTATTGCTGGCTCGCGCCACTATCCGCGTGCACGCGAAGTTAAATTGGTGGCCTTCCTCCAGGGTGTGAGTGGCGACTCGAGACAACAGGTCGCCTCTTCGGACTGCCCGTTTGTGCTCCATTATTTGTGAGCTAAGCCGTCGTCTGGCCTGTCTTCTGTAATGGCGGGGGCAGTTCCGACATGGGATCTAATAAACGACACCCGACTGTTCTCCTGCGTCCACCACCTGCACTCCTATCCCCCCCCTTCATGGCTTGACCACAAAAATGCTCACTTGACGCCGCATTTTCACAGTCTCCGGAGATGGCCTCCCGTACGAGACCGAAAGCTCAGACTATACACCTACTGTCCCAGAGATCGTGTGTTCATCTGCTTTACAACCAGAGGCTGGGGTTCGCATATTCGCTTATATCAGCAAGAAATTCTTTTATGGATTGTTGAACGAACCTGCACGACTTAATCGCAAACCTTTTTCTCCACTGCAAAGTTATTATCAGATGGGAATCCTAGGCATTGGAAGAATTACATTGGCGAGAACTGAACAAAGCTAACAGAGTCCCAGAACCTGTCCGTCAGCTTTCTGTACTCCTACCGTTGTTCTTTTAGAGCTTTTTGCATTAGAGTTTTTTACTTTTTCCTAAAAGCCATGGCATATTAGGCCCATAAACTACGGCGGTAGGTAGGCGTCGACAATAAATTACACACACGCCTTCAACAAAGTTTTCCATAATATAATGACAAGAATCATGACAGGTGAATTATGCCGGTTTTAGAAATTCAAATCCAACTACCGAACTGATAACATGAACTTCGGAAAGTAAGACCTTGCATGAACAACTTGTGACATTTCTGACATGCATTTGACTGCACAAAACTGAAGGAAACTGAGCCATCAGGTCGACTCTAAAGGTTTGCGTCCTCTCCTTTCCAAGGTTGAAGCAGTTCGTAATTTCCCCCACCAACCTCCAAGCGACAGTTGCAGCGATTCCTCGGCATGGTTAATTTTACCGCCAGTTCCTACCGAACTGTGCTGACCTCATATTGCCGCTCACCAACATTCTTTCTGGTCCCAAAGGCTCCCTCGAGCTGACTGGGAAGTACTGACTGCTTTTGAGAGAATCAAGAATTCCTTTACCGACGCCACCTTACGCACGCATCCCGCTCCCGAAGCTCAGCTGTCTCTGATGGTAGATGATTCGACCTTATCCGTAGGTGCAGTCCTTCAACAACACCTTGCTGGTTCGACTCGACCACTTGCCTTTTTCTCCAAAAAGCTCCTACCAGTCGAGACACGCTACAGTATCTTTGGCCGTGAACTACTTGCCATTTATCTGGCTGTGAAGCATTTCCCGCATTTGCTTGAAGATCGTGACTTCACTGTTTACACTGACCACAAACCGTTGATTTTTGCACTTCGTTCTCACTCCGACAAGTACAATCCGAGGGAAGTCGCTAACCTGGACTACATTTCCCACTTCACCACCGACATCCGCCACATTAATGGCACGAAGAATGAGGTGGCTGATATGCTGTCCAGACCCTCACTGTCTTCCCTCCAACTCTCACACGGGATCGATCTTTGCGCCATGGTGGCTGAGCAACAGCGAGTCGGTTGTCCTGGCGACGAGTCTGTTAGTGGTCTCCAAATCAAAGACGTTCCTCTGACCACCAGCTATGGTACCATACTTTGTAACGTCTCAACTCCATTTAATCGCCCTTTCGTGTCCGCCTCGATGCGTCGAGTTGTATTTAAAGCTCTGCATGGACTCTCCCACCCTGGGATCGGAGCCTCTCAAAAGCTCCTCGCGGAAAGGTTTGTCTGGCATGAACAAGGACGTCAAAGCTTGGGCCCGGTCGAGTCTGAGCTGCCAGCGCAACAAGGTGCAGCGTCACAACAAGTCCCCACCAGGCACTTTCCCCAGTCCCGACGCACGGTTCAGTCATGTGCACCTGGATGTCGTAGGCCCCTTGCCTTTATCCAATGGTTATACCCACCTCTTTACCTGTGTCGATCGATATACCCGCTGGGCTGAAGCTATTCATTTGTCGAATGTGCAGGCTGAAACCATCGTAAAGGCCTTCGTCAGTTGTTGGGTCGCCATGTTCGGTGCCCCATCCACGGTTACGACTGATCGTGGTGCCCAGTTTGAGTCGACACTCTTCCAAGCGCTACTCAATTCCCTTGGCTGCACACGCATTCGGACGATAGCCTACCACCCAACTGTCGACGGTATGGTTGAGCGTTTCCATCGCCAGATAAAGATCGCCCTGCGTGCCGTAGAAGACCCAGGAAACTGGTCGGACAACCTTCCTCTTGCACGCCTTGGCATCTGCGCAGCTCTGAAGTCGGATCTCGGCTGTAGCGCAGCTGAATTAGTTTTCGGTACTACCCTCCGACTGCCAGGCGAGATGATTACCCCAACCTCTCGTGGGGTCGAAGAGACTTCTGACAACTTTGTGCATCGTTTGCGGCAATTTATGCGCTCGCTTTCTCCCGTTCCACCTAGAACTCCAATGTCGAGGAAGACTTGGACAACTGTACTCATGTCTTCGTCCGGTGTGACCGTGTGCGCCAGCAGCTGGAATCACCATACGAAGGACCGTTCCGCGTGCTCACGCGCAACGCCAAGACCTGCCGGATTCTTCGCGGTGACAAGGAGGACGTAGTCAGTGTCGATCGGATCAAGGCTGCTGTTGCAGAGGAGCCGCCGGACCTGTCACAAGGACAAAAATGTGCTGACCACCTAACCCCTGTTCCTTCATCTTCCCTATCCCCTGCTCATTCACCGTGCCCACTGCCTCGCCCTTCTCCTCCCTGGCCCTCTGCCCCTCCATCCCCCATACTTCCCCTCCCAACATATCTACAGCATCCAACTGCAACACTATCCTCCACCATAGCACGCAGTCAACCCTCTTCGACTCTGCCTCCTGCATACATCGCTCGTAGTGGCCATCACGTTTATTTCCCGGATCGTTTAGTTACGCATTTTTTCTAGACTTATGCATATCCTCCGGCGCCGTATTACGTCGCCCTCCGGTCTAGTAGGGGGGTACTGTGGTGAGATACCGAACTAATTTACCTTTGACAATTTAGTCCCATTTGCTTTGACCGGATTGCTTGTTTGAATGTGACGAAAAACGATTTACCTGTACAACTCGCCTTGCTAGCGTGCTCCGCTGTGGTATTCTATTGTCAGTTTTCTTAACGTTCAAATTCTCTATATTATTCACTGTTCAGTTTTTACTTGCTGCTTTTAAGGCTAGGGGCTCATGAGATATAACTCGTTAGTTCGTGGGAACATTACCATTTACGAAAAGTCCATCGTCAGAGGTAGCAGCAGCAGAACAAGCGACAGTTATAGGGCACGTAGGCCAATCGTCGACCTACGGCGCAAGACTGGAGGTGACTATGCAGGGTTCTGTACGCCGGCGCCAGATCGATAAACCGATTGACCGAAGTCTCATCCGAGGCCCAGGCTTCAATCAATTCTCAGCCTGTTTTGTTTCCGGCGTGGGCGACTATTTTGGTGGCTGCAAGGTTAAACTCCTGGCCCATTTCGTAGATGTGGGCAGCCACTTGTGATAATGCGTCGCCTCGTCGCAAAGCCAGCTTATGTTCGTGTATGCCCGATCCGAGCGTGCGCCCAGTGTTAACTGTGTAGTTACAAGGACAATTTTGACAAGGAATGCGATACACTACTCCAGATTTCTCATCAGGCTTTAATTGGTCCTTGATTTTCATGACCCTCTTGCGCATGGTGGCTTTAGGGCGGGGTGCGATTCCAGCACCTTGCTCCGCAGCAATGCGTTCGGTTGCTTCTGAAACACCCTTGCTGTATGGCAGAGAATGCCATATCGTCGATGACGTTAATGCTCAAGTTCTCTGGTGGCGACCACGTAGGCAGCGACTTATGAATGCCCTCGGATAGCCATTTTGCACTTTAGCTGCCTCAGCGGAATACTGATGTCGCGAAGGTAAAAGAAAAGAGGACACGCGAGAGTCCTAAAACGAACAGGAATCCTTTTATCCATGTCACGATGTGCCAAATATAACTAAAATATAGCGAACACCTCGTGAAATGGATGACAAGCGTCTATTTTATGACGGCATTGTCACGACTGTCTTTCGACAAAAAGGGCAGAAACGATGTTGTGAAGACGTTCTGAAAATTCCCGTCCATTTTCTACAAGTTAACCCGGCGTCCTAGGAATACCCAATCCATGATCGACTGGCTGGAAGAAGAGCGGTGCAGACTGGAGCAGCAGTCGACAAGGCCAACCATTATCGCCGCTACCGAAGTTAAAGAAACGTTTTGCAAGTCTCTAATTTCGCAGACCAATAATCTTAAAAGGCGACCCCGTCCATCTTGTTTGCCATGCCATTGGACATTCGGCGCAGGTGTAGACCTCGTTGGACCTCTCTGCACTCAACGCTCTACTGATGCCGTATCTCATCACCCGTCCGAGAGTCCGCCCACACCTCCACCTCCATTACCGCAACCTCCCTGTGTCGTCGAGAGTCACTACTGCTCATTCGCTCACCACTAACGTTGTCGTCAATATCATAATCTTTGCGTCGACGGCGATGACGACGGCCACCATCGCCCCTGCATCAGCAATGAGGACTCGACATAAACATGGCCCTATCGCATTGACGCATTGACTTGATCAGTCATATACGAATCACCATACTGAGACTGGCGAATCAATGTCAGGGGCATCAACACTCGCACAGGTCACACCCGCCCCAAATGCACACACCGCCCATGGTAATAAGGCCACCAAATGAACGGAATCATGCATAAGTGTCTCCGCAAAAATCTGCGATTTAACACTCAAGTAGATAAGTCCCATCAACGCACCTCGTCCTCGTCAGGCCACACCTCCCCAGACCAGAAATAAACCCACCATTTACACAGGAGATGTTCCTCCCAACCAAGAGGGAACATGTTTCTTGGTGTATGACTTGATCACTAGGTCCTGTATGGCATATGTAAGCAGACTATTTTGGGTCTGTCAGTAACTTTTGTTTTACCACCGCCTCAGATGGTTAACAGGATCGGACAGTGGACTAGTATCTGGGAAGGGGAAGAGGAAATTAGGTCCATTCTGGGGACCCCGTTCCCAGGGTACTCCCCTTTGGCCATGCCATGTTAATAGTAAACGCTGACCGTTGTATAAGACAGTTAAACTTCAAAATAGCAAACTGCATCAGCAATACGGAAAAGAGAAATACCATGTCGTATAGTCTCCGATAAATGGAGTCGGCAAATCAACTTTGGACCCCTTAGCGAATGTTCGAATCGGCTTTTGCAGTTCAGAGCACCATCTAAGCATGACGTTTCGGATTCCTGCTCGAACCCATCACCAGAGACAAAAGCAGATAAGGGGGGTTCATGCATAAGGACTGCAGTAGTTATAGGATGCAGTAGCCATGCTACCGCGTACCTATGAATATTCACGGCTGCCCCTTTCATCAGAGATCGTTGCACGTGGTGTGATGGCCGACATTCGCGTCGTTAATTGCTGCAATTTCATCACATGCGTTGGATGTTGGTGTGATGATTGCTCGATCATCTGATCAACCGACTGTGGAGTTGGGAAAAGTGTTCACCTGCGCGCTCCGCGCGTGGCCAATTACTCCGCCTAGGCAAGGTCTCAGCACCGAGTATGGAATGGGAAGGTCGTTGCACTTGGAAATGTACTGGGACCAGTAAACCATGACTCAGGTAGCTCCCGGCTCACACGGTTGTCACCTCTTGCAAGAATTTCGACCTCATCGAATTTGAATATGTGACCGGATCTCGTCGAATGAGCTGCAACTTGAGAGCTGGCGTCATTTCTCCGCACCGCTGCAGCGTACTCGGCACGCTGCCACGGCAAGAAACGTCTGGAGTCGTTTGCAGGATCTGGTGCAGTTGTGGACAAAGCAACTACGTCGGAGAGACCGGAAGAAAGCTGCGAACGCGAATGGTCCTAGGCGCCGCTCCTAGGCGTACCACTACACATGGTTCAGGCTCCATACGGGCCACATCAAAAAGCAGCCATTGCAGCCTGACTCTCAGTTCACAGGTCCACCACTTCACACGAACATATGTTGGGCAGGCTGCGAAGTACGAGTTAAAACATCATTTGGTAACCTTCCAAGCCATGGCTTTTAGCGCACCGGATTGTTGTAAGGAAAGTGCGTTAAGTCCTCTACCGCACTCATTATTCGAATTCCCAGGCCCTAACCACTGTCCGAGCCGGTCAGCTGTCTGGTGTCGAGAATGGGCTTTTTCAATGAACTGTGCTGAACTTGTAGACGGCTGAGTTGCTTAATGTAAATTTTAAGACGATTACTTTCCCAATTATGCATAAGGAAAATATGCAAAAGCAGGATAAATATTTCCAGGAATAATGTTCCGGCAAACCGCTAACTTCATATTTAATGGCTTTTACACGCTAAACCTAGGGCCTCCAAGTTCTTCGTTATTAATAAACATATCTTTTAAGTCAAAAAGTTTTAGTATTTAATATATATCTCCTCAGAGTACCATATTTCATCAAACGATGAACTGTGAAGGACTTTGCTGGTCACATTCTAAACAATATTTTAATGTCTGTATCGGAAAATCCACAAAACCCTCAATAAATATAACAGGACTGACGTTTATTTCACTGCCATATTGACGGTTTTGACTTTATCACTCTTACACATAATTCAAAAACGTCCTGGTGAGGAGTGACTTCAACCTTATTATTAAAACAATCTGCTGTTCTCAACGTAGATATCTTCAAGTTTACCTTAACTGGTATTCTTCTAAATGTTTGGGCTCGGTTGTTAAAACGATCATCAAGTCTCCCAAGTGAAAGCAAACATTAAATACAAAAAGTACTGCAAGTATTCATGCGGCCAAAACATATTTAAACTCGAAACACAAATAATGAAATTAAGTTCGAACAAAACAAAACGACGACTTTAATGCTCAGCCCTGGTCTGTTTGGTCTCATTATTCACTATTTGTCGGAACCCAAAACTTGAAGATTTTATGCTTGGGTCAAAGGTTTTTGTCTCCTAAATTGATGTTTTAAGTTAAACATAAGCGCAGTTTTTCGAGGACGGGAGGCAATGCAAAAAATGCGAGCGATGTGATTGACTTAGGCATCCTAGCCTGCGAACTCTGTAGACAACTGCAAACGTAATGACGAAGTAACGCACAAAGTTCCGTTTAACATTGACAAAAGCAAAAAATAAGGAAATGAACATATATGGCAAGTTGCGCAAAAACCCTCATGTCATCAAACTGCTGTTGATGTCCGAAATATCACGTTAAATAGCAAAAACGCCTAACCTTTCCTTCGTTTTTTACCTTTGTAAAAACATGCTGACGAAATTCAACAGTCATTTAAAAACACAAGGTCTTGATTTAACCACTGCATTGCTTTTTTAAACAGGTTTCCTCTTATGTTCTGGGGATAAATAACTGACAATAAGGGATTAGAAAGAACAAGACTAGTTCTCATTAACTAATTCTCATAGACTGTCATGTGAGGATTAACCGGTAGAGAAATGGCGGTCAGCAGCCTCAGTTCAACTGAAAGCAACCACTAAGTAAACTTTTGATTTGCGAAGTCAATAAAAATTTAATTGACACAAAGCAAAAGCCGTGTGCTGCAAAGGAATT